AGTATTAGAGGCTTGTAATGTAGTTTTGAAACCAGACTAAAGAGAGTGTTTGAAGTTCAAAAAACTTGGGTTCTTTTGAGGAGAGGGAGCTGCCTTATATAGAGGTAAGGGACTCTGGATTCTCCTTGTGCAATCATTCTGCCTTTCTCTTTTACTCAGGTAAAGTAAATTCACTTTCTTGCTTTCGGCTGAAAAGTGGAGTAAGATTCTTTTACCCGGATAACTAGGACATGCTGAAGGGACTAGTGGGTCATGTCTATCTGTCCTGAGAATCCATCTTTCGGTGGAAAAGCAGATTATGGGCTCTGCATTTGTCTATGAGAATCCTGCTTTTAGGGAAAGGGGATCCTGTGCAGACTTGTGATATTATTCTTACACAGAGTGGACAGCTTTTCTTTCTTTTTTGAAGAAAGTAGTGATTGAAGCCACTTTATGTAAACCATAATTCACGGGAATGCAAGGTCAGGAGTGAGATCATCAACATCAAAGTCTTCTATTTCTTCATACGGATCCTGAGCATATCCTGGAGGAAGATCTGTTGTGAAAGATCCTTGGGAAGACGATGAGTCACTGTCTGAGTCAAGTTGATCCAAGAGCTTCTTGAGGAGTTTTGCTTTGGACTTCTTCTTGCTGGACTTCTTGCTGGAGCCTTTAGAACCTTTAGATGAAGGTTCTTCTGGTCTGGTCTGTGCTATAGGAAGGCTAGCCTGGCTTGATTGAGCGGGCAATTTCTTTACTGGTGTTGCTGGTTGTAAGGGGCCTGGAACTATGACTGGAGTTGGGACCCTTACAGGGAAGTCCTGTTTCACCATGGTAATAATGTTACTATGCTGAAATTTGGGCCACCACTTGACATAAAATTGTCGGGTTAGATTAAATCCAACAATTTCCCACTGCCATTTGAGTATCCAAGGGACTTTGTACCTGCATATAAATATTAGTAATAAGGGAAATGAGGACTCCTGTTTACTAGGATGGTAAAGGGAGTAGAAGATATTGATCTGATCTTTAATATCAGCTGGAAAGATTTCATCAATGAGACCATGTTGATGCCACCACTGTTTAAACCATGTAGGAATATGACTTTTGCAATCTTTATGAAAATTTAAGAACCAGGAATGAGACAAATCATCATTCTGGTAGAGTAATACTTTTGACCATGACTCAATGTAGTCATAGTAATTAAAATGTCTGGAATGAAAGGGAAGTTCTCTGAGCAAAGAAGGATGAGAACCCCATTCCTCAATAGAAATAATCTTGGTTATGATCAAATTATGATAGAGAACCTTATTTGGGTTTATCTTATCAAGGATGGGCTTGGTATGGATAGATTTGGTGTAGTAGAGAATATCTTGGTAAAAACTATGGGATTTTTCCAAGTCTACTGGAATGTAGGTCCAACCTTTTGGGAGGTAGGCCTTTACAAGGTCTTTTGGATCCTTATATTTAGAATGGGCTAGTTCAATGGCTAGCTAGGAATAGGCTTTGAAATAATCAACCTTTGGGCCTAATTGGGCTGCAAAGGGTTGTGAGGCCTTATATGGGTTTGTCACGGCACTAGTGGTCCTGACAGGTGGTTGTTGGGCCATTTGGGTAAAGGTTAGTAGATTGACAGTGGTTGATATGACTACGGGCCGAATAACCAAGGCAGATTGGGCTACTGGGCTATTGGGCTGAATAGTTTCCAATGATAAAAATCTGTTTGACAAGGTTACTGGCAAGTCAGGTTCAGATTTGGGTTGTTTTTGTTTATCCTTCTTTCCCCTCGTATTTTTGGAGGAGGTTCCGGATGAACTAGGTTTCCTGTCTTCCATGAGGTTCCTGCAAAAATTCTCTGGTTAGGAAATCAGGGATATAATTATATTCGCCTTTGATATATTCTATATCAAAATCGAAAATACTTAAAATAGATTGTCATCGAGCAAAATTTGCTTAGCAGCTATATTTTTGACATCTTTGGTTAAAACATCCTTGGCTGATTTACAGTCAACCCGCACAAGGAATTTCTGATTTAATATGTCATCCTGGAATTTAGAGATACACAGGACAATAGATAAAATCTCTTTTTTAATAGTGAAATAATTCTTTTGAGTTTTATTCCAAATACCAGAATGGAATCGAATAATCTGTTCAGGAGAATTAAGAGATTCTTTCTGAAGGAGGATTCCACCATAACCAATATCAGAGGCATCAGTCTGGATGATTTTAAAAGAATCAACGGACGGAATACCAAGACAGGGAAGAGTTTTTATGAACTTCTTGACCTGTTGAACAATAGAAGTATGAACAGTGGTCCAAGGAGAAGGATTTCCTTTGAGCCTGTCATACAGAGGTTTGATGGTTTTCCTAAGATCTTGATAAAAGTCAGAAACATAATTTAGGGAACCTAAAAACCTTTGTAATTGGGTTTTGTCTAAGATTTCATCTGGAAATTTATCTGCAAACTGGATGGCTCTACTAATAGGAGTGATAGTAGAATCCTGGATATTGTATCCTAAAAACCTTACTGAGGTTTGGAACAATTTAATCTTGGATGCAGATAATACTAATCTATTTTGTTGGATAATTGTATTGAAAGCATAGAGGTGCTTCCAATGTTCTTCTATTGTCTTGGAGAAGATAAGTATATCATCTATATAGACAATAGAAAAATGACTGATACAATTAAAGACTTCATTCATTATGTTCTGGAATTCACTTGGGGCATTTTTTAACCCAAAAGGCATGACATTCCATTCATAATGTCCGAAAGGAGTGGTAAAAGCGGTTTTATACCTATCCATAGGGTGGATTTGTATTTGCCAAAAACCACTTTTAAGGTCAAATTTGGAAAAGATAGTAGACTTATTGAGTCTTTTTATCAAATCTTGTTTGTTAGGTATAGGGTACCTTATCCATTCTAAAACCTTGTTTAAAGGTTTATAGTTTATGACTAACCTTGGGACTCCTCTTTCTAATTCTGCGTTTTTGACTACATAGAAAGCAGGACAAGACCAAGGTGATTTGCTATTCCTAATGATACCATTTTTTAGTAACTCTGTGATTTCTTTTTTACAAATCTCAGTAGTTTCATGGTTCATTTGGATTGGTCTAGATTTAGTAGGAATATTGTCTTCCCTAAATCCTTTGACATAAGGAAGTCTAACCATGTGTTTCTTCCTATGCCAGAATGCTGTAGGAAGGGAGGAACAAACTTCTGATTCTAGTTTTTCCCTAAACCTATCAATCTTTTGTTGTAAGATTGAGTTGGTTAGGTGTTCTTTAGTTCTGAGGTGATTAATCTCTTGTTTAAGAAATTCCACTTGTTTAATTTTTCTGTATATATATATATATATATATATATATATATATATATATAGTAACATTAAAAATAAAAAATTGTAACATTCCTATACAAAAAAAAAAAATTATCATTTAAACACAAAAAATAATACCATTTAAAACACACAAAAAATAAAAAATAGTAACATTTAAACATAAAAAAATAGTAACATGTTCAACAAAAACAGTAACATGCTTAACAAAAATAATAACATGCTTCACAAAAAAAAAATAGCAATATGAAATATTGAACAAAATTGAAAATAAAATTAGTAGCATTTTAACCCATAACTAGAGGAAAAAGCCTCCAAGTTTTGAAAATTTTCATTGTTTCTTGCATTCCTAATCTCAAAATGCGATTCATTGTTACTAAATTAAATGATATGAGTTTCAATTTTTTAGATCTTTTGTTGTGCAATACAATTGAAAAATGTTTGATTGTGTTACTTGTAGGAAAAAGTTGATGTTACTATAAGGGAAAAGAAAAATTATTTTTACATATTCGATGTCTTAATATTCACAAGTGGTGATGAGTGTCCTAATTCAACTAACGATTATATGTTATTACTCTAAATAATGTAATTTTTCGATTTGTGGACCGTATTTTGTAAAAAATAAGCGAAAATTATTGTTACTGTGAAGGAAAAAAATATTTCATTGATGTTACTATATAAAAAATTATCTTGTTAATGTTACTATGCAACATATATCCTCCTGAGTTTTGTTAAAGTCGTTGTGTTACTGTGCATAAAAATTTGATGTTACTGTAAAGAAAAAAATAGATGTTACATTACGGTTTGCATTTGTTATTGAATGAGAGGATTTATTTCTAACACGCACGCGCTCGCGCACGAGAGAGAGAGAGAGAGAATATAAATAAAAATTTAAATTTAGGAGTAAATTAATGAATAATAATTTCTAATTTAAGAAATTAATTTAAAACTATTTTCAAGCTCTTTAATATTTCTATTATTGAACACAATAACACTTGAGGATATTTTTGAGATTTAAAAAAATAGTGGACTTAATTACTTATTAGTAAGATAAAATACAGACTTATCACCAAATAAGTTTAATTGAGGAACTCAAATCATTATAAGTCCATTTAAGAGGACTCGGCCTTAATTTTCATTTTTTTGAGCCCGGTAATAGGACTCGTGGGTAAACTGACCGATGGAAACCCCTACCTGCACTTAATACTAGTAGTTGCGATAAAGTGCAAAGATAATTTACATTTGAGTCAATTCTTCAATCCATTCCACTTCAATATCCATTCCATTCCCGCTTGAAACCTCACTGTATACTATAACGCAATGTTAGAAATTAGTCCATAAGTTTCTTTCTTCTTAGATTCCTTTTGAAATTTGGATTCACTTGGTTTATTTGTCTAAGCTAGTAGTGCCGTTAATGTTATGCAGGTGATATGATGTTTATCAATATGTCGAACCAAAGGCTTATACGAGTGTTTTTGGCATTTTTTAGTAAAAATGTATTAGAAATATCTATTGAAATTCGACATTCCATACATATGTAGAAATGAGAAAATGGAAGAATGCGGCAATGGAATATTGCCTTAAGAATTTTGTGCATTTATATTCTAAACTAGTTATTTGAAGCACCCAACCCGTTATTAATCGACTAATTTGTAGTTTTTGGTTTGAATTCTTAAGCAAAATGGTAGAAGATGCATTAGCAGAGACAGCGATTGCGCTCCTTGTGAAAGATTTGCCTAGTGCTGTCCATATTCTTGGTCAGGATCTTCTTCAATTTCAAACTCGATTTAAGAAGATAAAAAAGATCTTACTATCATGCGGGCCTTCCTCACTGACACAGACAAGCTTAAAGGGACGTTGAAAACACTTGAGGTAACCTCGGATGAGCTAAGGGAACTAATTTATGAAGCTGATGACCTGGTGATGGATTGTCGAATTCGAGCAGAGTATCCGAAGAGCAAAGGGAGTTTTTCATGCTGTCATCTATCTTCTCGTGAACTATTCTTCCGCTATCAAACAGGAAAGAAGTTGATCAATATTAGCAAGCAATTTGAGCAAATGCAACCGACTTTGAAGGTATATCTTGAGGCAGCTGCACGATTCAACAGTGAAGGCAGCAGGGGCGAAATGCGGAGGAGTTCACAAGTTTTCAAACAATCAGAAATAGTTGGGTTAACAGAAGATGCTAAAAGAATAAAAGGGTGGATTCTCCCTCGCAATAAGGAATTACATTACATTGGTATTGTGGGGATGGGGGGCTTGGGCAAAACTACCATTGCTCAAAAGATCTTTAATGATAAAGAGGTAAAAGCTCGATTTCAAGAGAGAATTTGGGTGCCCGTATCTGAAAATGCCAATGTGTATGAAATACTGAAGAGTATCTTGAAACAGTTAAGAGCAGATGATCAAGCCACCAGTGACTTGCCGCACAAAATATGCCAGGTGCTTTCGGATAAAACTTATCTAATTGTCTTGGATGATGTATGGAATATCAAAAATGGTTGGTGGGAAACAATCTCAATTGGACTTCCAAGTACAGAGGAGCACAGCGGTTGCATCATAATCACATCAAGGATTGTGGATGTCGTGAAAGACATGGGAGTGATGGAAACACGAGTTCATCAACCAAAGCTTCTTGATGAAGAAGAGGGTTGGTCATTATTGTGTAAAGTTGCCTTCAAGTCAAAGAAACAAGGAAGTACGAACTCCAACTTGGAAAAAATAGGAAAGGAGATTGTGACAAAGTGCGGCGGCCTTCCGTTAGCAATCAAGGCCATAGGAGGTTCGCTATCCTCAAAGAATTCTTCAATTCCTGAGTGGGATCGGATTTGTAAAACTTTTCGTGCAAAAATAGCAACGAAAATAATAATTCTGTTATGGCTTCTTTGCAGCTAAGCTATGATGAGCTTCCTACTCATTTAAAGCATTGTATACTGTGCTTCTCAATATACCCAGAGGACCACGAAATAAGCACTGAGCAGCTGGTTCGCTGGTGGGTGGGGGAAGGCTTTGTCTACGAGGAAGACACAGAAACTGCAAGAGATATGGCTGACTGTTACCTGGCCGAATTGATCAGCAGATGCTTAGTTGAAGTTATTCAACGAAGGAGTTATGATGGAAGAATCTATAGTTGCAAAATGCATGACATGGTTCGGGATTTGATGATTAAAATTGCAAGGGAAGAGACATTCAGCAGTTTTGACAGAGGTAATAAGCATATACCCGCCATTGATACTCGCCGGTTAGGTGCCACAAGTGAAATGAATCTCCATCTCCTTCAGGGAAACTCAAAGATAAGAGCATTATTATGTATGGAGAGTTGTTTGATTCACTTAAATAGGAGTAGTGGGTTGGCCATGGTAAAGTCTCTGAGGGTTTTGGACCTCTCGCATATTAAGCTGAACAAAAATACGACTATGAGGGATCTATGGCATTGGATCACTTTCCAGAAACGCCTAGCTTACTTAAAGCTTTGCAATGTTGCAAATTTGGTTGAACTGCCAGACTCGATTGAAAAGCTATGGGGCCTCCAGATTTTGATCCTTGGCGAATGCAAGAAGCTAAACAAGTTATCTGCATTGATAACAACTCTTCCAAAATTAACGGTTTTGGATGTGGGGAATTGTTCATTACTCAAGTGCTTGCCCCAGGGACTTTCAAGACTTTCCAATCTTCAAGAGCTGTATGGTTTTAAAATAGCCAGTCAGACGGATGCAGAAGGTTGTCCTCTTGATGAGCTTAGGGGTCTATCACACCTTCGGGTGCTGCGAATTGAGATAGAGGCAGAAAGCATAATTCTGGATAAGGAAGTGACAGCCTTAGCACAACTTCAAAAACTTAGAGTGTTATCAATCAATGCTGGGGATTGTGTTGACAAGAATATCCTAGAAAAGCTTGAGAAGCTTTCCCCTCCGACATGTCTTGAAGAGCTGTATTTGGGGCATTACTTTGGAAACAATACACCACAATGGATAAACCCCATTTCACTCCCACAACTGCAATATCTTTGTATCGAAGACTCGAGGGTCCTGGAGGACACACACACGGACTTCTGGGGCAACAAAGATAACAGGTGGAAAGTAAAAGGGTTATGTTTGAAGTTTTTGCCAAGACTGAAGATCGAATGGGCAACAGTGCTGAGTGCGATGTCTGAACTGAATTTCTTGGAGGTCAGTCACTGTAACTCATTGCAATCATTCCGTTGTGATGTCAGGGCTCTAGGATATTGGAGGAAAGGGGAGGAAGAGGAAGATATCAAAAAGGAAGAGACCAAAGAGGAAGAGATCAAAAAGGAAGAGAAAGAGGAAGACAAAGATATCATAAAGGAAGAGACTGAAGAGGAAGAGATCAAAAAGGAAGAGGAAGGCAAGTGATGAGAAGATACATGTTGCAAGGAAGAATGCCATAGAGCACGACGTGAGTGAAACTCTCATTTCACTTCTTATCAATACTATTATAGGCGCACCATAAGTGTATATCTTGAATTGCTTTGAGGACTCTCCAGTTTGATGTATTTTGTTGTTGCATCCATACTGCATAGTGTATGTTATTCTAAGCTCTTTATGTTATTTTTAATCGGCTTGATGCTTTGGGTTGTTGAATTTCAAACTTGACATTATATGTGAATGCATTGATGTACTCTAACAAAGAAATGATATTGTATGCATCTCTCTCTCTCTCTCTCTCTCTGTGTGGCAATTGCAAGACAGAATGTGCTTCAAAGTATCGATCGACATGATTAGAAGAAGTTGTATTCCATTCGACATATTGTCTTCTGAGACCGATACATCTGCACATAAGTATGGTAACATGAGCATGTGAAGAAAAAGATGAAATGTATGAGGCATGACCATCATTTCTCTCCCTCAACCAAAAGATGTTGATGATTTTCTGCTTCTTTAATTTAGGGGCGGCTCAAGAACATATAAGGTCTAAAGCGGCAAAGATTAATGAGGTATTTTATTTTTTTAATAATAATTTTTTTTATTTGGGATCCAAAATTTCTAATAAATGTTTTTATCCAAAATTTGATAACATATATTTTTTGATTAATAATATGACTTTTGGTCATAGATATTTATAAGAATATAATTTGTTGCTTCATTCATATTTATATGTTTTTCATCGAAATTGTGGTATTACATCATTGACTTTATTACAAATACATTGATTAGTATCTTTTGTTGAATTATTTCACTAAATTTCAAAATCAAATTAGAAATTTAATTCCAGCTAATGTAGAATATAATACATCAAATGAATCAAAGTAGTGAAACTTCAGATAAAATAATCACATTCTGCAGCCAGAAATGTTCAATATTTCAAACTTGCCTTGTGCCTCAACAATTCTGTTGTGTGTTGCTCCAAAAAATATGGAATTCTAGGTCCCATGTCTCATATTGAATGAATCAATGAAATCTCGACATTGCCAAGTTGCTCTTTGGAGGCTTGCATCTGAGTTGATCATTAGTGAATTTTTGGTTCGAATTCAGAAGGTATATTCTCTAGCTTTCCTTCTTGGCGAGAGGCATCATGATGTATCCGTGATGATTAAATGTAGCTGGCATGAGCCACATTTGAAATACATAGGTCTGATTAATTGGTAATCCCAAAGCATAAACTGAGCATTCCTGCAACTTGGTTTGTGTTAACATTTTGGAGCAAGTTGTACAGCATATATTTGACCTGTATTTCCAATGTCGTTAATTTGTGTTCTAATGACCCAGCTGTCTCTTCTCTCT